GGGTCTGTTTGGGGTCATGTGAATTTTTAGAATTCCTTTTCTATTTTTGCATGGGACATCATTGGAATTTTAAAGGGGACTGCGTTTTATCTATAGACTGCATTCATCAGCATAGTAGTTGTAACAATGTTAGTTTGGCCAGCCCTCGAGAACAGGAGGTTTTCCTGTCTCCGGATGTCTTCAGTTCCTTCAGTGATTGTTCTCATTGCACAGGCCTCTTACATCTTTCTGCCTGTAGGGGAAAGATCGCATACCCAAGATACTGTCCATGCCCAGGGCGTGGACAGGGGTATGTGAGACAGGTGAGGAATAAAAGGGGAAGAGAAAGTAAATCCCTCTCTCTTGGATCCTGGCTGCGGTGGGGATCATAGAGCGCCTCCCAGGAAGTGATTTCTATATTCAATAAAGTATCTTAGGCATTCTTTTCAAGTAGTGCTGCTTCCTGTTTCTCTAAGCTTATCCAAGGACCATGTCATCTGCTGAGAGATCCTTGGGTGTCTTTCTTTCCTATGTGCGTCTTGCTGGTGTATTTTCCTTGTCTTACTGGTCTGAGACGTAGAGCACAGTACTGAGCAAGAGATATGGCAGTGGGCATCTTTGCCTTGTTCCTGGTTTTAGGGGAGATGCTCTCGGCTTCCCATTTAGTACAATGGCATGTGTGTGGGTGTGCATGTAGAGCTCTGAGGACAACCTCCTTGGTTGCTATCCACTTTCTTTTCTGAAACAGCTTCTTTCACTGGTCTGGATCTCACTGTGTAGGCAAGGCTGGCTCACTGCAGATAAGGCTGGCTCACTGCAGATAAGGCTGGCTCACTGCAGATAAGGCTGGCTCACTGCAGATAAGGCTGGCTCACTGTAGGCAAGGCTGGCTCACTGCAGGTAAGGATGTCTCTCTCACTGCAGGTAAGGATGGCTCACTGCAGGCAAGGCTGGCTCACTGCAGGTAAGGATGTCTCTCTCACTGCAGGTAAGGATGGCTCACTGCAGGCAAGGATGGCTCACTGCAGGTAAGGATGGCTCACTGCAGGCAAGGCTGGCTCACTGCAGGTAAGGATGTCTCTCTCACTGCAGGTAAGGATGGCTCACTGCAGATAAGGATGTCTCACTGCAGGTAAGGATGGCTCACTGCAGGCAAGGATGGCTCACTGCAGGTAAGGATGGCTCACTGCAGGTAAGGATGTCTCTCTCACTGCAGGTAAGGATGGCTCACTGCAGGCAAGGCTGACTCACTGCAGGTAAGGAAGTCTCACTGCAGGTAAGGATGTCTCTCTCACTGCAGATAAGGCTGGCTCACTGCAGATAAGGCTGGCTCACTGCAGATAAGGCTGGCTCACTGCAGGTAAGGATGTCTCACTGCATGTAAGGCTGACTCACTGCAGGTAAGGATGTCTCACTGCATGTAAGGCTGACTCACTGCAGGTAAGGATGCCTCTCTCACTGCAGGCAAGGCTGGCTCACTGCAGGCTGGCCAGCCAGTGAGCCCCAAGAACTGCCTGTCATCTCCACAGTGCTTGTAACACAAGAGTGTTTCCACCAGGCCCAGCTTTTCTGATAGTTGGGCCTCAGTCATCATGCTTGCACAGTAAGTATTTTATCCATGCGCTATCATCGTCCCAGTGCCAAATCATTTTAACTTTAAAATGCTCTTCAAATCTGACAGGACAGCTCTTTTGTAGAAAAGATCAATATTTTCCTTATCATTGTTTATTCTTAATTATGCAATTTTCCAGATAAATATTATGTTAACTTTGTTTAGTTAAAAAAAAATCAACAACCCAGCAGTGGGGACTTGAGGGTGGCTCATTATACTGCAGAGGGCCTGGGTGTTTGCAGCATCCTTTAACTCCAGCTCCAGGGGGAGCCTCTGGTCTCTGCAGGTACCTGCACTCATGTGCACACACCCACAGAGACAAAATTAAAAATAAACTTAGCATTAAACTTTGTGTGTGGTTAGTAGAAAAATCACAATCATTTAGGGGAAAAACATTTTTAGATTACTTTAATACTCATTATTTCAACTCATAAGTGTTTTATTTCTCAATTTAGGCTGCTCAGTTTTGTCATTCAATGAATGCGTGCACATATAAAGTCTATGTATGTGCATACATGTTTGTGTGTATTATGTGCATGTTCCACGCAATTGCTGCTATTATTTTTGCTAGTCGCTAGTTTGCTTATTAGGTTTATTTAGTTTGTGCTTGTGGGTACACATGTGTCTGGGCATGCACATGCCATAGCACGGGTGTGGAGGTCAGAGAACAGCTTGCAGGGGTTGTTTTTTTCTTCCACTCTGTGGACCGTGGGAATTGAACTCAGCTTGTCAGGCTTTGGCAATGAGCCAGTCCACCAGACCTCAAGTTACTTGTCACTTATTGTAGCTGGGAGCTAGAGGCATCATTACTGATCTTAGCTGGTTGCTAGAACATGTGGTGATGTCTAAGAATCTCCTGCTTGACCATTGTTCATCATGATATGTCCCTGTCATCTTTACTTGGCTTTCTATGTCTTCCTTAATCAACAGTTATGGGATAGTCTCTTGATCAGTAATTCTACTCCATGAGCCCCAGGATACTTTACGGGATGCTACATTGTACAGAGGGAGAACATAGAACCCAAACATCAAAGTACCCACACCTTGTGATTATATTTTGTTTTAACAATGGTTGGGCAACTGAGTAGAGCCACAGATACACCACATCTCTCATTTCTGAGAATAAAACAGTCACTGCCACGCCTTCACTGAGGGAGAAATGAGCACCAGTACCACACTGTAACACACAGTCATCAACATTTCAACATCATAACAATATCACCCTTCTGTGATCTGTAATTCACCCCATAAGTGATCTCCCCAGAGCCTTGTTTTGCCATATAAGGACGTGACTTATGTGAGAGCAAGACAGGGACAGAGGGTTGACCAGTTGACCAACCTCCTGAGCTGCTTTCCAAGCTGTTTTCTGAGCACACTGCCAGCACAGTGTTGGGACATGCTGCAGTGATGGCCCTCACCTCAGGAGAGTCCATAAGGGCAACACGAACATGCATGAGCCCCATTATGGGAGCCCCCTATGTCTGAGGGGGCATGGGCAGGTAGCTGGAACTAGTGGTCTTTCACAGCAACACACCCTGGCAAAGACTTGTGTTTTTAAGAAAAATATCTTTGAAGTGTTCTGCAAACATATAGGAGGTGGGGCTTTCATCCAATCCTCTGCGGGGAGTCAGCTTTACAAAGTGTCTGCTGTGTGTCCAGAGGTCAAAGCCCAATGACACGGACCCCTGCATCATCAACTTGAAAAGCTTTTATGCTCCTCAGATGTTTCCATTGATGGTGTAACTTGGAAGCTCTCTAGGGGCAATGCCCTGGGGTAGGAAAGCAACCAGCCCACCACACCCCAGGACTGAGGACCACCTGCTATCATCCATAACCTGCAGGATTTCCATCAGGGGTGATGGGGGGTACAGGCTCAAGAGTGCGTAATGAGCTTGCTATGACCCAAGATGGAGAATTAGGCGTGGAGAGCCTTGTGTTAGAAGTGGAACTTCACGAGCTCAACAGTGTGGCCCTGTGCAACTCAAGACACAGCATAACCCAATGCACACACAGACACAGCATGGCCTTTCATACCTGCATACCTTCACACATCATGTCCACACATAACCATAGATACCGAGTTTGGACTTTTAGTGATCTAGTTTATTGTAAACTATTCAGCTAGTCCAAACTTCAGCCTATCCTTTTTATTCTTTTTTTCTGGGAAAGAAAAGTCCCTTCCCTTCATTAGTGAGGCCAGAGGGGTTGGGAGAATAATATAGAAGGAGAGAAGAGACTACAAGAGGAAATGCCATGGTACTACTGAGGTGTTCATGGCTTTATTCCAGTCACAGGTGACAAAAGACAAACACTCTTGTCCTTGACCCCTCTGGCCTTGATACCACCAAAGTCCTTATCCTGACCCAATGGTCCAGCCTGTCCTGGAGTGGGGGTTGGGGTAACAGTATGGTACCCATGCAGGATTACACACCCAACTGGCTCATGGGGGCAGTGACTCACGTCCATCATTCCGAGTAGGGATTGGATGCCTGGGTGGATAACCAAAGGGAACCTTGCAACATCTCCTACAAGTGTGCATTGTTGAGATGGGGCCAGGAGGACATAGGCAGCGCAGTTCAGGATGAATCGCTCTAAACCCAATAGACTCCCTTCCACGGGATGCTTCCGAACTACAAGGACAGGGTGCTCTGGGCAGCGCTGTCATCTCCTGGACCTCCGTCTCCTGGGAGAGCAGGGATGCTGTTCTACATGGCTGCACAGCATGGTCCTCAGGGCCTGGGATCCCACAGGCAGTGAACCCACATTCCCATCCCTCTGTGTGCTCTTCCCCTCACCCCATCCCTTCCCCTGGGTGGCACTCCTTGTGACGAGGCGCCCTCGCTATTCAGGCCATGGAAGTCCTGGGAAGACTTTACAAGGTTTGCTGGAGGACCGAGGCAAAGTCTCAGTCGGCAAAGCACTGGCAAGTGTGAGGACCTGAGTGTGGATCTCCAGATCCCAGGCAAGAAGCTGGGCGTGGCAGCACATGCTCCTGGGTCCAGGGATGCCAGGGACACAGAGATGGAGACGGGAAGATCTCCGAAGTTCCTGCCCTGCTAGCCTCGCATACGTGATGAAACTACAGGTCAGTGAGAGAGAGGACCGTGTTTCAAACAAAAGGTGGAAGACAGGACCTCCACATGCATGTGTATGTAAACACATGGTGGCCTGGGGTTGGTGGCGCACGCCTTTAATCCCAGCAGTGGGGAGGCAGAGGCAGGCGGATCTCTGAGAGTTCGAGGCCAGCCTGGTCTACAGAGGGAGTTCCAGGACAGTCTCCAAAACAATACAGAGAAACCCTGTCTCGAAAAACAACAAACAAACAAAGAAAAACACACGGTGTACATACACTTGTGCATGCACACAGCACACACATACACACATGTACATACACACATGGGGGGAGGGGGAATGACTTTATTAGAATAAGGACAGTATTTAAAGATAATCTCACTCATAGGAGTGCCTGAAGAGGGTGAAACTGGGATCGGAGCCACGAACACTGCTTGGTGCCATGTCCTTTTCTCCTTGAGGACTTTTTTATCCTTTCAGGGCTTGCTGGTGGAGGGGAAAGGGAAGGTTTCAGAAAGCTGAACTGAAACAGTATAAACAAGCTGGAAAGCAGACCATGGCGACGGAAGGGGCTAAAGGGAAAGACCCAGGAGGCAGCAAAGGCAACGCAGCACCGTGGGGTGCAAGCATTAGGGGAGCCCACCCCACTGCTGCAGCGCAGGGAGGGGCTGCTGCCCACAGCGCTCACCCATGTGGAGCCTCAGCACTCGCTCACCCATGTGGAGCCTCAGCGCTCACCCATGTGGAGCCTCGCATGCTTGTCCCAGCAGGCAGGGTTCAGAGCACAGTGGGCAGCATGAGCTGCTCATGTTTGTCCAGAGAGGCCGGTGAGAAATAAAATCTGAACTCAAGAAAGTAGATATCAAGAAAACAAATGGTCCGATTAAATAATAGGGTACAGATCTAAGCCGGGAATTCTCCAAAGAGGAACTCAGATGGCTGAGACACACTTAAAGAAATGTTCAGTATCCTCACCCATGAGGAAAATGCAAATCAAAACTGCTTTGAGATGCCATCTTAACTAAACCTGTCGGAATGGCTAAGATCAATAACACAAATGACAGCTCATGCAGGTGAGGAGCTTGGGGAATATTCTTTCACTGCTGTTGGGAGTGCACACTTGTACAGTCACTGTGGAAATCAATATGGTGGTTCCCCAGAAAACTGGGAATAAGTCTACCTCAAGACCTGTCTATACCACTCCTGGGCATATACCCAAAGGCATTCCACCATACCACAAGGACTCTTGCTCAACTATGTTCATAGCTGCTTTATTCACAACAGCCAGAAACTGGAAGCAACTTACATGTCCCTCAACCAAAGAATGGATAAAGAAAATGTGGTACATTTACACAATGGAGTATTTACTCAGCTGTTAAAAAAGATGGCATCATGAAATTTGCAGACAAATGGATGAAACCAGAAAAAAAATAATCCTGAGTGAGGTAACCCAGAGCCAGAAAGACAAATATAGTATGTATTCACTTATAAGTGGGTGTTAGCCGTTAAGTAAATGATAAACAAGCTACAGTCTGAAGGCCCAGAGAGGTTAGGCAAAGAAGAGGGCTCTAGGGGAGCACATGAATACCCCTGGGAAGGGAAAATAGAATAGATTTTTGTGGGTGGACTGGGGGGTGGGCATGGGAGCAGGAGGGATCAAAGGAAGAGGAGAGATGGGATGGAGATAGAGAATACAAGGAGAGATGGCTGGAACTAGGGAGCACTTGGGGGTCCAAGTAGACCTAATGCAGGGGAAACTTACTAGAATTTATGGGGGTGACTCCTAGTAATGGGGGACATGGAGTCTGAACTGGCCATGTCTTGTAGCCAGGCAAGGCTTCCAGGGGTGGGACTGGGTTTCATTTAGCTGAGTTGTTGGTTGAGAGGGTCCTGTGGAGATCCCCAAACAACCCAGGCTGATGCTGGGACAGAGGGTTACTCTCTGCAGACTGACGGCAGAGGCCCCATTGCAGAGAGGACAACATCCAAACAGCTCAATGGATGTGGAGAGGTTGAGGTGGTGCCTACCCGGAACCTTCACCCCAAGTTCTAGTCTCTTTGGTTCCGGACGGTACTCTGCAGACTAGGGAAAGAGAAACCTGGACGCCAACCCAGCCACAAAACCTTCGACCTACAATCTGTCCCAACTGGGGCAATTGCGGCACGGAACTCGTGGGAGTGGCCAAATGATGTCTGATTTAACCTGAGGCTCATTCCAAGAGAGGGAGCTCGTGCCTGACACTGCCTGGATGGCCAGGAACCTGAGACTAGATAGACCAGAGTCCTAGGGTAGAACAAAATATGCCTTGTCAACAACAACAACAACAAAACCCGAAGACATGACTGCTAATGGTATTCTGCTATAATCACAGTTTGGTGCCTTGTCCAGTCATCGTCCGAGAGGCTTCCTCCGGCAGCTGATGGAAACAGATGCAGAGATCCACAGCCAGACGTGGCCGAGAAAGAGTGTAAACTGGATGTCTCCATTGGACTCACAGAGACTGAAGCAGCAAGCGTGGGGCTGCATTGGGCCTGTGCCAGGCCCTCTGTGTTCACGTTGTTGTGCCAGACCCTCCGTGTTCACGTTGTTGCTGTTAGCGTGGTGTTTTGTGGGACTCCCACCCGGGGGAGCAGATGTGTCTCTGACTCTTTTGCCTGCTCTTGGGACTTTTTTCCTCCTGCTGTGTTGCCTTGTCCAGTCTTGTTGCAAGGGCTTTGGCCTTGTCTTGGTGTATTTTGTTGTATTGCATTTGGTTCTTGTCACTTGGGGGGCCTGTTCTTTTCTGAACAGAGATGGAGGAGGAAGGGAAGTGAGTCTGAGAGAGAGGTTGTAGGAGTGAAGGGAGGGAAGTTGTATTGGGGTGTATTGTATGAGAGAAGACTCTATTTTCAATTTTAAAAAAAGAAGAAAAAGAAATAAAATCTGATGTTTCATTTTGAAAAGTGCCTAGAGTCAACTTAGGTCCAGCTACAAATGAACAGGAAATACTGGATCCCAGCTAATGCCTGCTAGTTCAACTAACTCCCTCCTGCTAATTCTGCTAAGATTCCTTCCCCACCCAAAACAGAAGGATAGAGTGGGAAATTACTATCAGCCCAGCTTGCCTTCCAGGCCACACACCAGAGAGTCTTTAAAATGACTGGTGCAAGGTGCACAACTAAACCCATGTGTGTTTTCTGTTGAGAAAAAGACAAACATGAGCAACAGAAAGAAAGGTGAGACCCAGGTGATGTGGAGGACACACACACACACCACACACACCACACACACCACACACACACACACACAACACACACATACACACCACACACACACACACAACACACACACTCACACACACAACACACACTCACACACACACAACACACACTGACACACACATACACACACCACACTCACACACAACACACACACTCAAATACCACACACACGTACACTCACACACGCTCACACACATGCACACACACCACACATTCACACACACCACACACACACAACACACACGCGCGTGTGCACACACATGCATACATGTGCGCACAATAATTTTAAATTAAAAAGTAACTTTTAATACAATGAAGAGTCACAGATTTAGGGATCTCTCTGTCTCTCTCTGTCTCTCTGTCTCTGTCTCTGTCTGTCTGTCTCTGTCTGTCTGCCTCTCTCTAGATGAAAGTCTTCAACCAAGATGAAAATCCTGAGCCCCAGCAGGAAAGGGGTCTCGCCCCTGGCTCGGCAGCTCTTGGAAAGTTTTATCAGACAGTAGAGCATGTGTGAGCAGAGCCAGAGGAGACACTGTCCCACTGCCACCTGACCTGTGTGACTTGGGGACCCCACTGGGGAAGTGAGCACAGGATTCCTTCACTCCTTGTCCCTGCTCCCTTCACTGTCAACCCTGGACTGCTTGGAGGCAGAGGACTCAGGGCCTTGAAGGAGTCCAAGCTACGGAGCTGGGCATCCAGTTAGAGGCGGTTCCTCCTGGCTGCTGAGCCTGTGTGCTGGGGAGGGAGTGACAGCCTGTTGCTGAGAGCCTGGGGGGGGGCATCATCCTCCTTAGCTGTCCTGTACAGCCACATCAGACTCCTCAAGGAAAAGCTGCTGGAAACCCCTGAACTCATGGACATAGGTAAGATCTGTCTAGACCGTATATCTAGATTAGCCTGAATTAATTACAGTGATGACAAGCCTTTTTTGTAATTGGATTTTTATGCCTGATGAAGCAATCGCCCAGGATGACCCCTGAAGTAATGAGGAGCTATTAAAGACCACAAAAGTTGGCACTGTAAACCTGGCCAAGAACCTGTGGTTGGCATGGCCACGGGCCCTAGGGAAGAACTCATTGTTACTGGTCTAGCTAAGTGGGCGCTCTGTCAGACTCACCTCTAGACGCTTACCTTCCTAAAAATAGACTGGTTTGGCTCTCACCCTGCTCCAGAGCAGCTTTTTATTGCAGAAAGCAGTGGTTAACAGGGAGACTCGCGGTTGGTCAAGGTATGGGGAAGAAGGGCATGTGAAGCCTTTGGCCCTGAAAGGAACATCTCTATCACGCATGTCTCTGCATACGCAAGAAGGCTCAGGGAATATGGAGGAGGAGGGTGGGGCACTTCTGTGAAATGGTGTCTTTGGGCCATCATATAGTAGTTGAAGTCATGAATTCACGGCTGGGTTACCCATGGAAGGCCTGTACAAGACTGGGCCAGTCAACTTTACATCATGGAAAGGGGAAGGGCCTCAGGAAACTCCACTCCTCTCTGAGGGACTGTAGCCAGTTAATGGTGGCTGGGGGAAGGGCCGTCCCTGTCTTGAGTGGTTAGATACTGATGAGTTATCCATGTGTCAGCAAATACCCTCCCACCTGGGCTCACACACACAAACACACACACACACACACACACACACCATGAAAGTAGGAGGGTAACTTTTAATTTTGCTGTCTGGTTTGGGACCCAGAAGGGACCAAGTTAGTCTGGCAGACAGACAGACTCTCAGCCCCTGACAAATGATCTGTTATTGACATTCTGAAAACAATATCTGGGATATTTCATCTGCTAGGAACTTTCTTTAGATAAATGCTGTGCCCTCCTGGATGGTTTTGTGAGTTCTAAGATACCATGGATCATATGAGAACAAACCCAGATCTGGAAGTGATAGCCCACACCTGCAATTCCAGCACTCAGGAGGCAGAGATGAGGGAATTGTCTGAGTTCACGGTTAGTCTGGATTACATATCAAGTTCCAGGACAACCGGCGCCGTATAACAAGACCCTTTCTCAAGAAACAGCAACAGACAGAACAAAGGGAGGCTGGAGAAATTGTTTGGTGAAAGGCTTGCTGTCTGAGCACAAGGATCCTAGTCCAAATTCCAGAAGTAATGAAAAATTGCTGGGCATAGGGGTGCACATTTGCTCCCCAGGACTGGGGAGCAGAGATGAGTGGATCTCCGTGGACCTCTGGTGGTCAGCCATGCCTGCGCAGTGAGTTCCAGGCCAGTGAGCGACCCTGTCTCTAAAACAAAGGGAGTGCTTCCTCAAGAACAATGACTGTGGCCTCCACACAGGTTCACCTGTGCACATACATGTACCCACAAGAGCACACACCCTACCCCTCATGCACACACCAAAGCAAAACTGAAATGTGAAAAAAGATTTATGTAGAGATTTGTTGCATGCATTATCAAACCCTGGCCTCATGGGGTCAGAATCAGAGAATGACTTCTCAAGTGGGTCTCTTAGACTGAATTATTCGGGAGCCACAGTCTTCACCTCTACGTGATTTGCTTTTCTAGATGGTCTTGCCAGCACATGGTGAAAAGAACCTCAGCATTCCACACTAGTAGGGAGCGCACCAACATGAGGGCCATGATCCTACTTACATGCATCGCTGATGCTTTCCATGTGTCTGTCTCTTGCTGGGTCACGAGCTGTTCTGTCCATATGTGTGGTCAGTGCCCAACACTGTGCCTGAAATAAGGTCTGTCTGTAATACCTCCATCTTTCATGCTTCAGATCTACACACAGCAAGTTAGCTACAGCATAGTCAACCAGAGGCACATGAACACATTGCCCCTACATGGTTATCACTTGATACCCTTTATATAGTTTGACCAACTTTCTATCCCACCCCTGCGGTACTCCCGGTGACCAGAACTCCCTGGGTTTGATGTCTTTAGATTCTACATGCAAGTGAGATTGTGTTGTGTTTTTATTTCCGTATCTACTTACTGCAATGTTCTCCTGGTTTGCCCAGGTCTTCCCACTTGGCAGGATCTCATCCTTTTTGAAGACTGGGTAATACTCCATTAGACCTGGGTGCATGGACCGTATTTCACGGGTTTATTCATTTGTGGACTGGTAGGCTGGCCCCATGCCAGCGAGAGTAGGTTGTAATGCACGTGGGGTCTTCTTGCTTTCTCTCTCTGAGATGCTGATCTGATTTCCCTTGGATATTCATGCGCCCAAAGGTGGCACTGCTGGGCTAAGCTGCCTCTGAGGATCTGATGATGCGAGCCAATCAGAGGCTGTCTCCTTTTCCAGAGTGCATGCGTGTCAAGAGGGAAGCACACTTAGCAGTTTGAAGTTGAACCTGGAAGGGTCTCCCAGTGAGGCTAAGTCACTGCCTCCCCCTTGTGGTGGCAACTGAGTCTTGGCCAACCCCACAGGCAGCAAGAAGACCTGGCTGCAGAGGCAGCAGGGAGGCACCTCTGCTTGTGGACACCCAGCCTAAGGTCACCTGGGAAGGTGCCATAAGAAGAGTACGACTCCCAGGGAAGTCTGGTCTCCGGAAAGTCAGGAGACCAGCCTCCCTGGTGCTGATTTCCCATGATGTCACTCCAAGGAGCATAGACCCTAGGAAGTCAGGCCTCTGGAGCTGACTTACGCAGGGCACTGGGCTGTGATCCCGGGAGAACAGCCGTAGAGGGTCCTGTGGCAGCTGGGGGGGGGGTCACTGTCACCACCCTAGCTTCTCAGGGAAGAGTCAGGCTCAGCACCCTAAGCGTCACCCAGGCCTGCTGCCTTCATGCTAACCCTGTTATCACTTCCACAATTCAGGGCTCTACCGCTTATGCAACACAAGATGTGGACACTCCCTGGGCATCGGTGAGGACCTAGCAGAAGCACCCTGAGCCTTTGGGTAGAAAAGGCCCCCCCGTCCGTTCCCCCCCCCCCCCCGCCTTGACCAAGCACTTGCTACGCACAGTGGTAGTGACTTCCACGGTTTGAGTGTGACAGAAACCAGCACTGATTTCCCGGTGCTCTACGGTTCCATACACAGGTCTGTTCTTGCTGTGACTTAACAACTCTGGCGTATTTTCCCCCATGAGCAGAGAACTACTCACTATACGCCCCCTGCCAGTAGTCCTGCTCTGGAGTTGCGGAATCTAGGAAAATGGGGATGATGCGGATGCCATTCAATGCCACCACAGTTGACACGATATTGGAGACAGCTACTATAAACTAGCAGGCTGGGAGGACTCAGGAAGGAAAATAAGGAGAGAGGAAAGAAAGAAGGGGAGGGAAATAAAGGGGGAAGGGGGAAGGGGAGGGAAGAAAGAGGCGTACTGCTGGGCTCCTCTCATTTATCAGTAGTTCTGACACATCCCTCCGAGTGATTTCACCAGGGCAACAACCCCTTTCCTTGGTGTGTGTGTGTCAGACCGATGCCGCCGGGTTCCTTTTGATGAACATCCCGTTTGCTTCTGGTGTCTTTCTACCATTAGTATCCTTCTGTGTGAGCTTACATGCCAGGGTATACTCTGATTTGTTTACAGGACCAGTTTCCAGAGGTGGATGGATTGCCGGATCTAAATTAAGGACATTAATAGCCCCTGTGCATCCTACGCCATCTCGGAGAAACAGGTGTTTCTTCTGGGAAACTGAGGCACTAAGAGGCATCTGATTACCATATAGCAGCCATAGAGTTTTGGTAGCCTGTAGCTAGGTTGGGGGAGGGTGTAGGGGTCGTGTTCAAGATATGTGAGTCCAGCAAGTGGCTTCTTTGGCAGTCAAGTCTGTGGCAAAGCGTTCCTCTCATTCCCGAGGTTTCCCACGAGGGGGCGCAGCACACCCCACTCAACCTTCGGAAGTCACAGCTAGGGCCCTGGGTTCAGCCCGTTCACAGCGGGCAGCAGACCATTCCTATGTTGTAACGCGGTTAGGCGTTCTGGGACCTTAGAACAGGGCACCTTGACGCTGGAGCAGGGTGCAGCTAGGTAGTGCTTCCCGGAAGGGTACTGAAGGGCAGGCAGGTGCCGGTCTGGCAAAAGAGAAGGCAGGTGTGTGTGATTAGGAAAACAGGTGCGGAGGTGTGGTTTTGCGGGAAAGCCTTTTTCTTGCCCCAGCTTCCAGGCACTGGGTGGAGTCTGCTTCTGCCTGGGCGTCCACTTTGGGTCTGTGCTGGCTAGGTTTTGTCAACTGGACACTAGGTAGAGATACTGGAGAGGAGATAAGGAACCTCAGCCTAGGAATTGCCTCCCTTAGATTGCCTGTGGGCGTGTCTGGGGGCGTTTTCTTGATTGCTAATTGATGGAGGAGAGCCCGAGGTCAGTGCTTCCTGGGCAGGGGGGTGAAGCCAGTAAGTCACTTTCCTTCAGGGATTCGGCTCCTGCCTCTAGTTCCTACCCTGGCTTTCCATGATGGACTGTGTCCTGTAAGCAAAACAAACCCTTCCCCCACCCCCAAGTTGGTTTTGCTCCGTGTTTTTATCACAGCAACGGAAACCGAACTGGATCAGGACTTCTCTCCCTTTCTAGAAAAACCCATTTCCCACGTCATCTGGGAAATCCTTCCTGGCTGCGGATACTTACCGCTGACTCCTAGACAATACCTTGTCGCCATTTACAAGACAGGTTGTCCTCTGCTGGAGTGCCTGTCCCCTGTGCCCACAGAGCCCCGTCCTCTCTATACACGTTATCTACGGCCCAGGTCTATGCTAGAGACGTGAGCAGTAGTCCCATATGTTGCCCTGGGCATCCTGCAGGCCTCCGCTGTTGAAAATCTCTGGCACCGCTCTGAGGCTGTGCTAGGAATGTGGGTGCTCAAGAAACACCCTCTTCCTAGCTTTGTTATTGGGTTAGTTTTCCAGTTTGCAGTTTTCCCATGGTGGGGGCAGGCAGAGAACTGGCCTGCCCACAGAAAGAGGAAAGGGGTTTTCTCTGTCTACCAGCCCTGGCAAACTGTAAGCAACCTCTGTAAAGACTTCCCTGGGAAGATTTGGCTCGGGGAGCTTTGAGCTGGGTCTTACCTTAAGGATTTTTTGCTTTTCTTTTTCTTATTTATTTTTATGTGTACGGGTGTAAGTATGTGTACCATGTGTGTGCCTGGTGTTCAAAGAAACCAGAAGAGCGCATCAGACCCCCTGGAACTGGGGTTACAGGTGGCTGTGTGGTGCCCTGTCCTCTGGGACAGCAGCCAGTGCTCTCAACAACTGAGTCACCACCTGCCCAGGACCAATGATACACACTTGACGACGTTTCTGAGGTCTGGCCTCTTATCAACCTACTGAATTTGTCATTGAAGGTGATCGTTCTCTTTGATACAGACCTTGCAGTCTAAACAAAAGTTCCATTTTTGTTGTTGTTGTTGTTTTTTTTTATCTCAAGTTGTAACAGCTAAAACCAAACCCAAGCTTAGAGGAAGTTTTGATTAATTAAGGCAGAAGATACCTGAGCTAAGGTGTTTACTGGGGCCCTGAGGCTTGAAACCATGAGTTACCTAAATACTTTTCTGCCCTGGCTAAGAACTCCAGGGTTCCGAATTAGAAAAGGACTCACTCTGAGGGCCTGATCAATTCCAGGCTGACATTGTTTTAGGCTATTCTTTCTGTTGGTAGCCAATCTCAAGAGTGTCCTTGACACAAGAGCCAAGTGTCAGCTGGTTAGAGTCTGATTGCTGGTGTCTGAATCAGCACAGGTCCCCCAGGAAAGGCACCAAGAGAGTCACGTGACCAGTGTCACCTACCCAGCAGGGGAGAGGCTACTGCGCTCCTGTTCTTCCTGAACTGGCCCTTTGGCCTTGGCCTTGTTGGAGGTGGTTGTGTGGCACAAGCAGAGCTGCCCGGACCGGGAAGGCACAACCCTGGGAAGGCGTGTGAGGGAGGCAAGTCTTCCGCTCAGGAAGCACAGGTTCTGGGAAGGAGAGGGCCGTTGTATGGTGCCCCCGAGGGCACCAGGCTGGGATGGGAGTGTTACTGGGGTCTGGGTGAGAAGAGAGGTTGAGAGGCAAAGGTCACACTCCAGATGTTCTCATTAATTGCTGGCCGACGGGGCACAGGCTTGTTGGACGTGAGACGAGAGGATGCAATGAGAATTCTCCTGACTGGCCAGTTCCAGTTGGGTTGGCTGCACGGGCCAGGAAAGGGCATTTCAAGTATGTCACTGGTGACACGGAGTTGCTAGTGAGACCATTAAATATAAACACAAATCAAAGCAAACCCCAAATTTCTATTTCTGTTCACTTAAAAGATAAGAATCCACTGACAGCTGTGGGCGGGTCCTCAGAGATCAGAGCCAACGTTGTGACAGTTGGGTGACCCAAATCAGCCAACACTGACACAGCAGTGCTGAGGTGGAAACAGCCCGTTGTACAGACAGGGAAACTGAGCCTTTGAATCACAGAAGGATGGATTTGAAGACACAAGAATACATCTCGATAGTGTTTATAGGGAGTGGCGTAAAGTAGGCTTCCTTATAAATTCTAGAAACTCTACGATGGAAAACCTTGGAATTGAAGTTACGGAGTCACTAGATGGAAGAGGCTGAGCCAGCCTTGTTGTCTCCTCACCTGCCCGCGTGAGCCCTTGAAGGTCCTTCGTGGTTTTTGTCACCTTGGTGCCTGACATGGAGGGACCAAGAGCTCGTGCCGCCCCCACTGAGGCCAGGCAAGCCGCTGAGACTCGAGGTTGTGGGGCTGAAGCAGCAGAAGCAGGTCTGACTGGAAACTTTCTGTGCAGGAAGAACATGTTTGTCAGGGCGTGATGACTCTGAGCTGGGCCTGACCCAGATTTCAGGAAACTACGACCTTGCCCTCCTCTCCTGCCTGCTCTTTACAAACTACTGCGAGGTTGAACTGGGTTCTTGGGGCCAGGAAGCACTGCCAAATGCCGGGCTGGATCTGCGCCCGTTACAGGGCCAGCCGGATGGCATAGGGACCCCACCGGGCTTTTACCAGAACAGAATGAAGGATCATTGGGGTTGGGGGGCTGTCCTAGCGAGCACTTCAACACTGTCAGCTTCTCAGGGAAGCTGTATCTTTAAAATGGGAATGTGTGGAAGATGGGCTGTCACTCCCCAGGCCAGAATTCACCCCAGGAGTCACCAGGCTAGGGGTTAAATGCTTGTAATCAAAGGACAGTTCAAATGTTTCTGCAGAAGAATAAAACCACCCTAAACAACCATGGTCTGGTTCCCTCACAAATAGGAACCTGTGGTCCCAGCACTTAGGAGGTTGTGGCCAAAAGAATCTGAGGTTTTGGCTAGCCTGGGCTACTGTAAAAGACCCTGTCTCAAAACAAGTCTTAA